ATTTGAAGAATCAAACACTATTCACCACCCTAGGATAAAGAACGTATCTTTATTTTATGCTAATTGACTGAGCTGGTTCCCAACTCCTCAAGATTATAGTTGTAAACTTCAAATAATGTAATCTAATCTTACAAGGTATTTGATGATACCCAGTAAATATCCATAATCATGCACCCCATGTTCTTTGTTTTATGCAAACATATTTTCTATCACTCTGTTGACTCTGAAAAAGTTTCCTGCTTCTCTTTTTTTTTTGTGAGAAAAATTTGTATTTAGAATTAGCCTGCTGGACTCAGTTTAGATGATCCCAATTTTGTTGGCAACATCCAAAGCATCATAATCAGGAGCAAGTCGAATCAAAGTGTTGACCTTAGCCACATCAATGTCATAGAGCTTCTTTACAGCTTGTTTAATTTGGTGCTTATTGGCCTTGACAGCCACAATGAACACAAGTGTGTTGTTATCTTCTCTCTTCTTCATAGCTGACTCAGTGGTCAGGGGAAATTTGATGATGGCATAGTGGTCAAGCTTGTTTCTCCTGGGGTGCTCTTCTGGGGGTATTTTGGCTGCCTTCAGAGTCTCAGCATCTTAGGCCACCGGAAGGTGGGTGACATGTGGATCTTCTTTTTTTTTGCAGTGGACGCCCTTCAGGACTGCCTTCTTGACCTTTAAGGCCTTTGCTTTGGCTTCAACTTTGGGAGGGGTAGGGGCTTCCTTCTTTGCTTTCGGCACTATAGTTGATCTTCCAGTAGGTTTGTTTTCAGAGACAGTAAATCACACAGGAGGAGATCGCCCATCCTTTTCTTGCACAGCAGCTAGTAGTTTCAAACTACATACCTTTGGAATTGCAGTGCAGCTTCTTACTATGAGGCTACAAGCGCTCCTTGATCCAAGTCATATTGTCGTTGCTGTGTTTCATGGAATTGAAACTAACTCATATCTGACCCTTCAGCAGCTTTTCAAAGGCAGTAAATTGTATGTGAGGAGATTGCCCAGCCACCCTTCTCCCTGATCAATGTCATAGTATTTTCAATTGCTTCATATGCATGTGAAAGCTGAACAATGAGTAAAGAAGACTGAAGAATTGATGCCTTTGAATTGTTTTGTTGGTGCAGAGAATTGGACATGCTATGGACTGCCAAAAGAAGAAACCTGTCTTAGAAGTGCAACCACCTACTCCTGGTTGTTGCTGTTGTGTGCCATCGGGCCAGACCCGACCCATAATTGACCCTCCAGCAGATTTTCAGATGCTGTAAATCACATGACAGGAGACTTCCTATTTTTCTCCCAAAGAGGTGCTGGTGGATTCGAACTGCGAGCATTCAGGTTAGCAGTGCAGCTCCTCATCACCAGGCCACCAGAGCTTCCTCGATGCTCCTTAGAAGCAAGGAATGTAAGACTTCATTCCACATACACTGGGCGTGCTATCAGCTAGGGTCAGTCCTTGGAAAAGGACAATATGCTTAGAAAAGAGGGTCAGCAAAGGAGAGGAAGATCCTCAAGGAGATGGGCTGAACAGTGACCACAATGCTGAGCTTGAACATATCTGTAATTGTGAGGATGGTGCAGGAGCAGGCAGGATTTTGATCTCTTGTACATAGGATTGATACGAGGCCGAATCAGCTCAATGGCATCTAACAACAGTTATTTTCTTTTCTATATCAGGGAGTTCAGGTAAGAGGAAGCTGGAGTACTTGACCATCACCCTTTTGACTCTCATAATTTCTATTGTCATTAAAAGTAGTTTTCTTGATCTACAAATTATTCAGAGCATTTTATAAAGAAGAAGCTTAATGTTTTCTTTTCTAGTCAGAATTTAACTTGTATGATTTTTTTTCTCTGAGGTTTTCTTTCTTAGAATGATCAAATTTTGCATTCTCAATGATTTATTTATTGCAAATATGTTTTTATTTTTTATTATTATTAATTTTAATTAAAGTTTACAGAGACTTAGGGTTTTCATTCATTCATTGTTGTACTTTTCTCCCTGCCTACCCTTCCCCCCCAATTCGCTCTTCCCTTTGAAAAGTAAAAGAAAAATTCTTTCATTTGTTATACAATCTCTCCCCCAAGTCCACTCCACTATGCAGCCTTCATTCTGGACTGCTGTCGTGACGATAATACCTAATCACATATCCCTTTTAAATAGTTATCTCTATAGAATTTTGTTGTCAAGGGAGCTCTCATGGCCTAGTGGTAAGAAGGGCACTGCAATCCTAAAGACACGTGGTTCAGATCCTCATGTGGTTCAGCAGCTCTGCTGAGAAAAACGTGCAACCTCCTCACGTGCAACTTCTCCTTCTGAAAAGCTGCTGGAGGGTCAGCTGTGGGTCTGGGCTGACTCAACAGTACACAACAACAACAAAAATGACAACCTAATGCTGTGTTATGTGCCATCAGTAGAGCACAACTCATCACGACCCTATGAACAAAAGATCTGACCCCTGTTCTATAACCATCATAATTTCTCTAATGTTCACAGAGTTTCCAAAGGCACGTTGTTTAGGAAGTGGTTGCCAGTCCTGCTTCCAAGCCTGTCTTCTTCTGGGAACTCTACCAAACACTGTCCACCATAGGTAACCATTATGACATTTGATCAACCAGTGGTACAGTGTGTTGTTACCGCTGTCAAATCAATTCAACCTTTTGTACAACAGAAAAAAAAAGACTCCACCAGATTCCCTGCTGGAGAGAGAGAGAGAGGCAATCTCCTCCTGTAGCAGACAGGTCTGATTTAACGGTAAACACACACACACACACACACACACACACACAATTTAAAAAAAAAATTAAAAAGCCAAACACATCGCACTTCTCCATTGGTTAGTAAGCCTGGCCATTTTTATGTTTTTCAATTTTGGTTCACTATTTTCTTGCAGTCAGTCTACCCAGGACCTCCGACTGTGATCCCCTTTACAGTCAGCAGTGCACCATCTAGTTCTTGCCTTAGGGTTAAGGAAATAGAGGCTCCCATGGTCCACTAGTCCTTTTTCCACCCACTTGCTATTTTTCTTTTTATTAAATTATTTTCTTTTTGGAATATATGATTAGGTATTATTTTCATGACAAGATTCCAGAAAAAGAAATGCATATTAAAGTGGACTGTGGACTTGAGGGGGGATTATATAGAAATGATTTTGTTTTTTCTTTTCAATGAGAAAAGCGAGCTGGGGGCGAGTGGTGGACAGATAGGAAAATGTGCAACAATGAATGAATGAGAGAGGGAAATTAAATGGGAAGAATATGCTGTAAAAAAATTGTTGCATTAAAAAAAAAAGACCTGAACATTTGTATAACTTTGGTTGTTTCTCTAAGTTCATAGAGAGAGCTCTGTTACCGTAGTGGACAGAAAGTGATGCTACCAAGCCAAAGGTGGGTGATTTTAATCTGCAGCCCTCATGCTTGGTTTGAATTGTTTTTGATCAAACATTCTTCTAAGTGCTATAGCACCGGTCTGTCCATTTGCTGTACAGAGGTAACTCATGGTTGTTGTGATGCTGAAAACTGTGACACTGAAATGTCCAATGCAATAATGGTTACCCATGGTGGACAGTGTTTGGTGGCGGTCCCAAATTAAAACAGGCTTGGAAGCAGGAGTGGAATCCACTTCCGAAATAGTTTGCCTCAGAAAACTCTATGAACTTAGATAAATGATGAAACTTTATTTCTTACACATCTCTCTTTGTATTTCACTTTTCGTTAGTGTAGTGTGCTGATCACCCTCTTATTATATAGTGTCTTTTCCTTCACAATTTTAATGGGTGTCTATTTTATTTCTTTATCTATCCATTTTTCATTCCCCCCTCCCACCCTTCCCATCTCTGCTAACTATCCTAGAATCTGTGTGTAAGCCTTTCTTCAGGTTTTTATAATAGTGATCTTATACAATATTTGTCCTTTTGTGACAGATTTATTTAACTCAGTATAATAATGTCCTCTAGATACACTCATGTTATGGAGTGCTTCATGAATTTTTGTTGTTCTTCAGTGTTGAGTAGTACTCCATTGTGTACTATAGCGTCCTTATCTATTTATTCATTGATAGACACTTGGAATGCTTTTAGTAATTGTAAATAATGCTGTAACAAACATGCTGAATATCCCCCTCCCAAAAAAAAATCCCCTCATTGTCATTGAGTCAGAAACAAGTCCTTGCTGACCCTCTAGGGAGTCTTCAGATGCTGTAAAGGGCACAGGAGGAGCTCCTAATGGATCAGAACCCCGACAGAGGCACTGTAATCCACTCATGTCTGTTTCTAAGGATCTGTTGTAAAGATTTCTTGATAATTCTAGGCATCAAGACCCTCTGAGCACAAATATCTTGTATCCATTTGACCACAGTGGGAAGATGTTTTGGGAATAGAGTGTGAGATTTTGTACATTTCTGACCTAAGGGAAAAGGAATGTCATTTTAAAGTATATGTTTAAGTCAGCCTCAAGGCTAGAGAAACTGCTATTAGAAAATGCATCTTTTAAAATCCAACATGGATCCCAGATTCATGTCAATACTTTCAAATGGAGTGAAGGCTCCCCTTTCAGGATATTCTGTTTACACACACCGTATACCTTTGATTTTAAGCTCTTACACTAGGAAAGGGAGCTCTGATGGCCTAGTGGCAAGAAGTTGCAGTTCAATCCACAAGGCATGCAGTTTGAATCCCACCAGCTGCTCTATGGGAGAAGGATGGGCAATCTCCTCCTGTGTGATTAACTGCCTCTGAAAACCTGCTGGAGGGTCAGCAGTGGGTTGATTCCAGTTTGATGGTACACAACAACAACACACTAGGAAATATATCACATTAATTTGAGCAGACAGCAGTTAACCTAATGGTATATGGAACAGAACCTAATGGTATATGGAACAGTTATCAAGACTTTGGGTCTGTCAGTGGAGACGTGAAATCAATCATCTTATACACCTTAATGTATGTTGTATTTTTAGAATGCGGATCCATGTCTGAAGAGCAACAACAATCACATGGGCTAGCTACTGCAACGTCATGTCTGAAGACAAAGAATGTCTGACAGCCAGAAACATCCATTTTGTTTGTGTTGTGGTCTTAATAGTTGGAAACATAATCCAGTTCTCAGACGAGAATGAGTTTGCAGTAGACATATCAAAAAGAAGACTTACTCAGATCCCCAAAAACCTACCACCAAAAACCAAAATCTTGGATCTTTCTCATAACCACATATCTGAACTTCACATCTCTGACATCAACTTCATGGCAGGCCTGGAAGTTTTGATACTTTTCCATAATATGATCCAGCAACTTGATTTGAGTGTTTTCCAGTTCAACCAGGATTTGGCATACTTGGATCTATCTCACAATCAATTGTGGAAGATATCATGCCACCCTGTTGTGAGTCTCAAATATTTAGACCTCTCATTCAATGACTTTGATATTCTACCCATCTGTAAGGAATTTGGCAACTTGCCTCAGTTGGACTTCTTGGGACTAAGTGCTAGAAGTTTTCACCAATTAGATCTCCTACCCATTGCTCACTTGAATCTAAGTGACCTCCTTCTAGATTTAGAACGCTATAATGTTAAAGGAAATGAAAGAGAAAATCTTCAAATTCTGAACACAAAGAAACTTCACCTTGTTTTTCACCCAAATAGTTTATTCACAGTCCAAGTGAATATATCAGTTAGCACTTTAGAGTTCTTAGAGCTGACCAACATTAACTTAAATGATGAGAACTGCCACGTTTTAATTAACTTTTTATCAACACTCACCAGAGGTCCAAGCTTGCTAAATTTCACCTTGAACCATGTGAAGACAACTTGGAGATGTTTGGTTATAATTTTTCAGTTCCTTTGGCCCAAACCTGTAGAGTACCTCAATATTTACAATTTAACCATAGTTGAAATCAAAAGAGAGTATATTATTACTTATTCTCCAACTACACTGAAAGCACTGAAAATAGAGCATGTTACAAAGACAGTTTATATTTTTTCACAGGATGCAATATATATAGTGTTTTCTGAGATGAACATTGAGATGTTAACCATGTCAGATACACCTTTTATCCATATGCTTTGTCCTCAAAAACCAAGCACATTCAAGTTCTTGAACTTTACCCAGAATGTTTTCACAGACAGTGTTTTCGAAAATTGTTCCACTTTAGTTAGACTGGAGACACTCATCTTACAAAGGAATGGGCTGAAAAATCTTTTCAAAGTAGGTCTCATGACTAAGAATATGACATCTTTGAAAATACTGGATGTTAGCTGGAATTCTTTGGAATTTAATAGGCACAAAGAAAATTGTGTTTGGGTTGAGAGCATAGTAGTGTTGAATTTGTCTTCAAATATGCTTACTGATTCTGTTTTCAGCTGTCTGCCTCCCAGGGTCAAGGTACTTGATCTTTGTGACAACAGAATAAAGAATATCCCTAAACAGATCAGGAAGCTAGAAGCTTTGCAAGAACTAAATGTTGCTTTCAATTCTTTAATTGACCTTCCTGGATGTGGTACCTTTAACAGCTTGTCTGTACTGATCATTGACCACAATTCACTATCCAACCCATCAACTGACTTCTTCTCCAGTTGTCAGAAGATTAGGTCAATATCAGCAGGGAACAATCCATTCCAGTGTTCATGTGGACTAAGAGAATTTATAAAAAATGTAGGCCAGTTATCAAGTGAAGTGGTAAAAGACTGGCCTGCATCTTATCAGTGTGCCTACCCAGAAAGCTATAAGGGAACTGCACTAAAGGACTTCCACATGCCTCAGTTATACTGCAACACAGCTCTGCTGATCATCACCATTGGGGTCACTATGCTGGCGTTGGCAGTAACTGTGACCTTCCTCTGCATCTACTTGGATGTACCTTGGTACCTCAGGATGATCTGGCAGTGGACCCAGGCCCGACACAGGGCTAGGAGCATACCTTTAGAAGAGCTCCAAAGAAATCTCAAGTTTCATGCTTTTATTTCATACAGTGAAAATGATTCTGTCTGGGTGAGGGATGAATTACTACCACACCTAGAAAATGAAGACATACGGATTTGCCTCCATGAGAGAAACTTTCTGCCTGGTAAGAGTATCATTGAAAATATCATAAACTGCATTGAGAAAAGTTACAAGTCCATTTTTGTCTTATCACCCAACTTTGTCCGAAGTGAGTGGTGCCATTATGAACTTTACTTTGCCCACCATAAACTGTTTCATGAAGGGTCTGATAATTTAATCCTCATCTTGCTGGAACCGATTTCAAGAGACAACATTCCGAGCAAGTATCACAAGTTGAAGGCTCTAATGGCTCAGCGGACTTACTTGGAATGGCCTGCCGAGAAGAGCAAACGTGGGCTTTTTTGGGCTAATGTTACAGCTGCTTTTAATAAGAAATTATCCCTAGACACTGAAAACAATGAAGTAGAAACTTAAAGATGTCAGGAAATACAGCTTCAGAAGCCATAAACTTGAATTCTGAATTTTAAAGTTATTGGCCTTGATGGTATTTTCTACCATCCCAATGTTCTCAGGAAATATTTAATGAAAATTGTGTATCAGTTGAACTAGAGAATTGAATTGGTGAGTAAAGCAGTGTTCTAACTTGTGAATTAGTGAGAGCTCTCTGGTGGCTTAGTGGTAGGGGATTGCACAGCCAATGCAAAAGTACATGGTTCAAATCTACTTACTAGCTTCTCTGTGGGAGAAGGATGGAAATTCTCCTTCGTGATATATTGCCTCTGAAAATGGCACACAACAACAGTCTCTTTTAGCTTAAAGCTTCTTTCGCATAGAAACAATCTCATTTGAGTAAAGAAATGATCTTTTTCAGAATGCACTGTAAGAGAAGACAGAGATTGGTGTAACTTCCTGGTACCATGGAATGAATCAATGTTAGAATTGAGTGCTCGTTTCTCGGAGTGTCCTATGGAATCTCGTTGACTTTATGTGAGCTTCACCATCCTGTTCAATTTGGGGATGTGGGGAAAAGAAAGATCAGTTACAGAAAATAAAACTTTTTTTTCACATATCTGAGTGAAAGTTCATTAAATCTTGAATCCTGCTTTGCACATATACATTTAGCCCATGGGTTTCATGTAAACATGTGTAAGTAAACAAAGGAAATTTAAACTTGCTTTATAGTCATGTAGTACTGGGCCAAAGACATACGATTTACCTCGTTGCCAATGAAACTCCAAGCTAAACTTAATTTGTAATGAGGTATTGATTGGAACTTTTCTGGTTAGAATTTTAGTTAAAGCTGGCAAAAGGGAGCAAATGGCTTAAACAAAATAGAAAGGCAAGACATAGCTATGCTAGACTCATTTAAAAATAGCAAGAAAGTTATGCACTTATCTTCTTTAAATAAAAGGAAGATGCTATACGTAAGGATGCCTAGAGAGTAAATGGAGTGAGAATTCTAGACCTATGAGGAGATAATTTTAAATTCCTCCCAAAAACAAATGAGAGGGACTTTAAACTAGTTATAGGAATAGTGCTCTGTTGTCCTATTCCTGATTGAAAGCTTTCAAAGTAACAGGGATGACAGGACCCAATGCATCATAAGGAATGATGAGAAGCTCTTGGAAGAATGTGATGAATGTTCCTGGATTTTGGGGGATGGTGGGTATTGTAGGTAAAACAGTCACTGCCGTCAAGTTGATGCTGACACATAATGACCCTGTTAAGTGGTGATTAAAAATATGCTACTTAAGGAATATTTTGGGAGTTCTTGTGGCCTAGTGGGTACCAGTACAAATTCAAGTTATTCAAATTCACCAGCTACTATAAGGGGAAAGGTTAATCAGTCTTCTTTCATCTTCTAATCAGTCTTCTTACATGGAGGATCAGTGATATGTAAGTTCTGACTCAAGGCACATAACAACAAGAACAAAAGAACTGGTGTTGAATGAATGCATGTAAACATCCCAGCTGGAGAAATCAGAAGGTCAGAGTTTGGTGGGAGCAGCTCAACATGTAAAGCAGAAAAGGGAAGAGAAAGTGAACAGATGACAGCTAACATGTCCACCACTTGACATAGCAAGACACATGGAATTCCTGTGGGATTTTCTGACTTGAGTTGTCATTATGAGAACTTTTAGATACTAAGAGGGCAGCCTCTTGTACAAAGAGACAATAACAGTGAGAGGCCAATGGGTCCAGGTGAAAGAAGTATGTGAGTGTGCTTCAAAAGGTCTACCAGATGAACCACAAGGTATATGAATTTCATATGCAAACCTATATTTTTAAAAAAGGTTAATCAGTGAGGGTATCACCTGCATCATGGACATATGCCATATGGGGATCTACTTAAGGCCACCAAGATCCCACAGATGCACCCTAAGACAGAGTCAACTTTTAGACTCCGCCATAATAGGAGGGAGAAGCTCTGGTGGCGTACTGGTAAGTAGTTGTGTTGCCAATCCAAAGGCAGGTGGTTTGAATCCACCAGCAGTACAGAAAGGCTGTTAAAGGAGAAGATAGACAATCTCCTCCTGTGCTATTTATAGCCTCTGAAAAGCCACTGAATGATCAGCTATGGATTGACTCCGTCTCAATGGCAATGAGTTTGAGTTATAACAGAATGAGTATAATGGTCTGTCTGCCTTATCTGGTAATTAACTGCAGAGAGATTTGCTTCTGTTTGTCTACTATCCCATCTCATGTAGTGCCTAAGGACCTGTTGGATAAAGGTAAATCAGAGGTGAAAGAATAGTACAAACATTGATGATACTTTGTTATAAGTTAATCTTCAGTGGAACTGAGAAGGAATTTTTAATTAGGTGTGAAAATGACTGGAAACTGGACTAGATGAGACATTTGAATGCTTGAAATAGAGCTGCAATTACTAAAGTGAGACATCATTAAAATGTATGGATCCTAGCTCTTCCACTGCTTGTAAGATCCCCTCAAGAGAATGAGGACTGAGACACAAATGGAGATTTGTATACCAATGTTCATAGCAGCATTATTCACCATAGGAAGAACATGAAAACAGCCCAAATGTCCAACCACAATGGAATGGATTGAGAAATTATGGTACATTCACACAATGGAATACTAAGCTGCACACAAGGAGCAATGATTTTGTAAATCACTAACTAACTTAGGAGGGACTGGAAAGCATTATGATAAGTGAATGAATTCAGTCTCATCAGGGCAAGTACTGTATAAAACCATTATTGTAGAATGTGTATGAGTATCCAAGGGGAGGGAGGGAGAGAGCAGAGGGGTAAGGATGGTTGAGGGGTAGGGTCACACAATTTGGATGGGGTGTGTGAAGGAAATGGGAAAGATCTGGTGTGAAAAACAGTTATAAGAACATTGTAAACAAACCAGTATATATATATAATCATCTTTAATAAAGATTATGAGTGACAGGAGACACAATAGAATAGAATAGTATGACAGAACGTAAAAAAAAAATGTCCTTTCCTTTGGAATTTAGCTCACTTAATGAGCCTGTTTCATAATTAAGTATAAAGAAATAAGCCTTAATGGAATTTAACTAAAGTCATCTTCTGTCTAGTATTTGCTTAACAAGAAAACATGTTTTGGAAACTGAGCACAGAGAAGCCGAGTGAGCAGGACAGATGGAATTTGAATGAGAACTATTATTGAAATAATTATTTTGGGAGCCTTGGTGGGGAGCAGTGAGCCTCAGCAGGGAGCAGCATACATTGGCAGGGAGCAGCGTGCTCCACAGGGAGCAGTGACCCTTTACCAGGAACAGCGAGCCTCGGTGGGGAGCAGTGAGCTGTGGTGGGAACTACCTGCCAGTAGCAAGTAGGACAGCAGGAATTTGAGTAAGGTACTTAGGGGGGGGGAAATCACTGTTGATTGTTGGACAAATTGTGGGACCCCTTCACCTTAAGCAGGAGGGAGTGAGACAGCTGGAGCTTGACTGGAGTGGCAAACTGAGTTCTCAAGGGGAAAACTAAGGCTTCCTGGTTTTACATTCAGGTTCCCCTCTGCATGCACTCCCACACCCCACGTAGGTCTATGTGTGTGTTCCTCCCTAGTCCAAGCATGCATCTGCATGAGCCCACTCTACATGCACCCACACGTGTGCTCATCCTATGTGAATGTGCATGTGTGCCCACCCTATATGAATTAGTATGTGCACCTGCCCAACCTTCTTCTGGAGCAGTGACATTGGAGTGAGAACCACCTATCACCTCAGGCATGAAAAACTCTACCGCAGCAATGTCATGAAAGAAGCAGACTACTTCACTTTATACACAAGCCCAAAGCAAGATATCACCCACCACCACTACCACCACTACCACCCACATTCGACACAGTATCAATGGATTTCCTGAAGCCAGGAAGTCTGATGAAACTTTCTGACACAGAATTTAAAAGAAAAAAAGTTGAATATTTTCAGTAGCTGAAAGACAAACTTTTACAGGACACTGCAAGCAAAAACCAGTAGGAGCTTTAAAAAAGAATCCAAAACAATGCAAATAAAACACACAAGGAATGAGGGGCTCTAGAAAGACAAGAAACCACAATCCAAAAGTTGAGGTCCAGTGTTTCAGATGCTGTAACTTAATGGAGAGACACATGAACAGATTGAAGAGATGGAACACAGAACCAGTGAATTAGAAGATAGAATTGCCACCATTAACCTGTTAGAGCAAAAAAGCCTGATCAAAAAGGAAGGAAAAAGAAGAAAACCTAATAATGTGGGAAACCTCAAGAGAAATAACATATGCATCATCAGAATCCCAGACCAAGAAGTAAAAGCACCAAAAAAAGGTGTGGAAGAATTACTAGAAGAAAACTTCACAGGCATAATGAAGAATGAAAGAATATATATTCAGAGGAGCTCTGGTGGCCTAGTTGCAAGGAGCTGCAACTAAAATCGCAGATGCACACGGTCCAAATCCACCAGATGCTTTGCCAGGGAAGGAGGGACAATCTCCTCCTGTACCAGTCAGATCTTATTTGACGGTACACTCACACAAAAATAATAAAAATTTTAAAAAAATAATATATATTCAAGAAGCTGAACAAGCATCATATAGAATGCACACCAAAAGAAAAACACCAAGGCATATCATAGTAAAATTTGACAAAACCAAAGATAAGGAGAGAATTCTGAAAGCAGTGAAGGAGAAACAGAGTAACCTAAAAGGAAGAGAAGATAAGATTAAATGGCGATTTCTCAGCAGAAACCATGCGAGCAAGAAGACAGTGGAAGGACATATATCAAACACTCAAGGAACACAACTGTCAACCAATAATACTATATGTTGTTGTTGTT